ATTAGCAGATTTCTAGTACTCATCCTATTTTGTTTGTCTATAGCCAGTTTTATCAGAGTTATTTAAATTTTTTTTTGTTGTTGTGGATTCTATTTTAGGAACTTTAACAGAATGATGAATCTGGGTCAAACATTTTATGTTTGCCTGGTCAAGAGAGTACGCACATAACAGTGCAAAAGCACTACCAGTGCCGTTGGAAAATTTACACAAAGCAGGATGATGAGACAGAAGCACTAATTATTGTGACATAGATTATATACGTTTTACATGAATGATTTTATAGGCTTACTGCCAAAATTCCTTTGTTTTAAGAATAGTTGTCACCCAATTTCTCTGCTTTGGGGTGGCCTATCTCCTATTTCCTGTTCTGTTCGTAACCCTTCAATACATTGGTTACTTATTCCACTTGCCGAACTCCCTGTATACTCTCAAACTGCTTACTTCCCTAAAACTTTAACCTTTACTCCTTCACATTTGACTAAGTTTTTGAATGTTTATATCTCAGAAACAGGAATTTACCATTTCAAGTCTTCATCTCACTCATTCCAAATTTTGAGTTCGTATGTGCTAACCATGATGTCACCTAGAGATGAGTAAGATTTAGCCTCTGCCATTAAGGAACGTTTAGCCCAACAGAGATTTAAGATACATAAAAGAGTTTGATAAAGCTGATGATATAATTATAAAAGTAAACAAAGGGTTAGCTCAGTAAAGGGAATGATTAGCTCTTCAGAAGCAGAAGGGGCCCAGGAAAGGTTTCTGAAAGGAGACAACATATAAAGTGGTCTTGAACTCCTGGCCTCAAGTGATCCTCTTGCCGTGGCCTCCCAAAGTGCTGGGATTATAGGTGTGAGCCGAGACATCCAGCCTAAGCTGGATTTTGATGGACAGACACGTGCTCCCTAGCCCAAGTTTTCTAAGGACATACGTCTGCTAGCATCTAAGTGCATCTTTTGCATTTGGCTGTTACTACTTCATTGCTTCATTCCTCTATACACACCACTCCCTCTCCCTGCCCTCCCCATCTCCTATAACCCTCCTCTCTTCTCTTCCTTCCTTTTATGGGAATTTTTTGTGTGTGTTTAACTCCTGGGTTTAATTTAGTTGGATTGGACTGTAGTAATAACATTTCTGTACATTTGCCCAGAGGCCTTTGGCTAATGGGTGTATTCTTTACAGGCCAATAAACAGATGAATGAAGCCAGCCTGCTGTTTGCATCTCTGTCTCCCTTCTATTTCTCTGCACTTGCCCACCTTCCGACAGACCTTTTTTGAAAATTTAAATTTTCCTGGGTGACTCAAACATAGACTGCTTTCATTAAGTCACTTCTACACCTGCCAGTCAATTCCACGGACGACTTTGCTTTTGCCAGAGAATGTGTTGTCTGGACCACAAGAGGTCCAGCCTATGTAAGGAGGGAATGTGAACTGTTGCTCAAGGAGTTTTTCCCCAGTGTGAGGGAGAACCCCAGGAAATTATGGGCTTACATAATTATGTAATTATGGGCTGACAATCTGGATGGCATTTGCTCATTTCTGACCATTGGTGCTGATTTTGATTTGATGTGATTAAATGATAGATTTGTGGTGTAACGGAACAGAGGCTGACCAGGTCACCCTGAGAACAGTA